ATATACATATACATATACATATACATATACATATACATGATATCTATATATACACTTGTTGAAGAGTGTTGTGATGGAACAAGAATTTCATGAGAGGAAAGCATAGAGATGTGAGGAGGGATAGAGGTGGGGGAGGCATGGAAGGATAACTAACAGAACTTGCTTTGCTTGTTGGCAGCTTTTCCGCCCGTTTTCACGCTCAAATTATATTCATTTTCTGAATAATAGAATTTCAGTCTATTCCATTTCTTTTAATTATTTTCAATTTAATGTTATCATTTCTCTTTGCAAATTCTAAAAGAAAAACAGAGTTTCAAACGGTGGTACTCTCATTCTTGCTGCTGTCATAGAAATTAATTTTTAAAATTGGTTCATATAATTAAGACACAATTTACATGTTTAGTATTATGCTTGATGGTTTTAATCAAGTCTTAATTTGCATACTTCCAGATTTTCACTATTTATATCTTATTTTCTTGATGAACTACCATAACGCTTTATGTTCAGCAGGTTCCACATTATTCATTCTTCCTCTTTTACTATCTATCATACAGTGATATTGGGTAAAATCATTTGTCGAATTCACTAAATAAGAAAATATGGATGATGAAGAAGGGATGATTCAACATCTTTTACATATCTCCTATTTATAGTTCAGCACTCTTATCACTATTTTCAGTATTTCGAGTTCACAGGATTTAATTTCAAGTGGCAAATGTCTTTTCGTCTAATCATATCACCATAAAGATAAAGATATTCAGAGGAAGTAATCATTCACTTACATATTAATTCATTACATCCATTATCACCATAGATGTGAATTTGCCCGTGGGTATGCTTGTGACTTTCTATCTCTGTTAATGTTTTTATGTATTGTGTATATACTTGTACGAATGTGTACGAATGTGCATGTGTAAGTTTAATATGTACCACCCTAATGTCACCATAAAAAATGGATCGTCAATTAACTTGTTCATCAACTCAGAAATTTTTCATAAAAGCATTCAGCACGGAAATGACGTATGTAGAAACTGTTGCCACTTTTCCACACATGCAAAATCTTGGTATATAAAGAGACTTGATAATTCCCAGAAATACACTGCTTATCACTTTTTGGGGTTATTTCTGAATAACAAATATTCTCCCAATTTTCGTATCTTAATTTATTGTCTTAAATCATTAATATATTCATGTAAACAATTAATTCAAAATAAGTACAGAATAATGATTATCTCCATATTATTCATCCTCAATATTGTCGAAATCTTGCTTATATCAATTAAACTTCAATTTCGCTTTTATTTTATAAATGCGAGCAACAAATAAGCTGCTTTTGTTTACTTTTGAAATTTGATCCATCTTGACGTTTTTTTCTAAGATATGGCAATGTAGTACCCAAAATTTCGCATAAATGTCTGCCCGCAGCGATTCTAGCAAAATATGCTTTGAAATTACAGACATTCTCAAAATTCATTCATGCTTAAATGAAATTAGGTTTTTTTTTTCAAAGAATCATGATGAATCACTCTAAAATGTTAATTCATTAGACTAAGAAGTTATTTTATGATGGATGTTACTACGAGAGTAGTTCCGGCTAGAAATAAGATAAAGAAGAATGCTAGGAAGTAGAAATGACTAGCTGAGGACAATGGGACGTTTCTGACATCATTAATATGTTGTTTGTTTATTAAAAAAAAATCGAAACTTTTCACTTTCTTGCAATATAAGAAAAGAATAATGAGCTGAAAAATTCTTTTACAGAATAAAATCTACCATTTTCATAAATTTTATTTTTCCAGATAGCATAATCTTTGTGAAATTTATTCTTAGCTAATGGTTACATCTTATGTACCAATGCTCAATTGCAGCCTTCGTGAAAGGTAAGCTCTAAATATTTACATATGCGAAGGGATATTAAATTTGGTCCCGACACATACTTGCTATATCCTTACGTAAATTTTTTATTTAAAGGTAGAATTTCATCTTTATAGCACATTTATCTCAGTCTCCACATCCACATTTTAGGCGTGGTTCATCAGTGTCATTGACAATCGATCTGAGCCAATTCCAGAATTCAGCTCTTGAAATATCACCAATTAATGAAGAGTTCGTATTATTATATCTTTCTGCACTGACCGCACCGGAAAAAATCTTTCATTCCCTTTCTTGCCATGGCCTCTTTTCATCAAATGATAAAATGTAAAGCAATGTCTAAAACACACTGGTTTGCTATAATTAATTGTAGAAGCTTATTTTATTTTTGTTCATAATCGTTTACACTGATCGGGACAATGAGATCACCATTTCTATTCATCAAAGCATATTTTTAATAAATTTCAGTGTTGCCGAAGAATTGGAACTCTGTAAGCCACGACGTCTAACACGTTACCAACTGCACCATCTTGATATTTCGGCATCTCTGTCCATGATTTATGCAGAATTTGCTGTGAGTGAATCATATTTTCTTTTGTTTCTCACTTTGAATGATTAAGGGAGAGAAGGAAATACTAAAATATGTAACTTATAAAGTAGCCAGTAACATTTAACAGCTTAACATACCTCTTTTCTATAGGCTCTTCCAAGTCCAAGTACTTCGTCATGTGAAAAAGTTGCGGGTTGTAGTCAAAAAAATCGACATACATTATGGCCTATACGAGAAACTCGTGTACGATTGTCATCCAGCTATAGGGCTTTATGTAATTCTATAGCTGAAGATATCTGTCAGAGTTATATCAATGCTAATTATATTTTGGTTAGCTTATCAGTTTTCTGATATCTGTAAGCACTTATGAAATATTTCTTTGCGGAATCATATCAGTAATCACAAAGTTTTGAAAAACAGAAGATATAAATTTCTGTTGGTAAAAGGGATCATCCCATCATTTTTATTTTTCCAATTAAGTCATTAAATTCAGGATTCGAATTCACAATTAATGTATATCGCAGCAGAAGGTCCAATGTCGAATACAGTCAATGATTTTTGGTCAATGGTTCTTCAGGAACGTGCGCCAGCAATTGTAATGGTGACCAACTTAGAGGAAAAACCTTGTGGAGCCAAGCTTGCACTAGTCTGTTTTCAGAATCAAAATTTAGTATAGAATCTTTCATAGTTCGAATAGAGAATCATGGTAATAATAAAAAGCTCCTTATCTCCTACACAAATTTAAATTCTTTAAATTGAAATTGATGAAATTTGTGCAGAGGACAACTTAAATATTTTACAGAAAAAATGCGAGAAATATTGGCCGGACAACCATGCCTGTTATGGTGAAATTGATGTTACTGTTGTATCAACAAACTTTTACGATGGTGTACAAATTCGTCACATTATTTTAAATGTATTGATTTTTGTTTACTTGAAAGCCAGTTTTCTAAATGTTTCATTAAACGTTTGCTAAATAGCGGAAACTAGAACGAGAGCCTTTTTCCCTTTCTGAAAGGCTAATGATTAGCTACAACATAATCAGGCGCGTTACATTGAACTCTTCCGAAGTTCCGTTATTTTAAAAATTACGATGATACAACATTTACAGTAATATTTAATGTTTCTCATTTTTAATTTTTTAATGAAAACACATTTAAAGCGGAGTGATAGTAATCAACTTGTATTTACAGTACGGTGGTATGGAACATCACGTCAGGCACATTTGGTTTACAGAATGGCCAGATCATCATTTGCCTGTGCAACACATTACTAAACTTTTGAAAGTAATCGTTGCTATGGAAAGTTATAGAAATGAATATCGACGATTGTCTTCTCATGTAGCACCAGTTGTTGTTCACTGCAGGTAACTTTTTCCTCGAACGGCTAGATCAGCACTGCATATCAAAAACTGCTTTGCTATCATTTATAATGAATAGTATCCGTTGTTTGCAGTGCTGGAATTGGTCGAACTTGTACATTTATCGCAATAGCTTTGGGAGTGGATCAGCTCCGTAAAACTCCTGAAAATATTGACGTTTTTTCCATTGTATCCAGATTACGCAGTCAGAGGTTTGTAAAAATAGATTTGTTGCGGATACAATGTAAAATAATCAACAAGATTTCCTATCATTTATTGTGGCACTCTGCAACGGTTGTGAAGATTGTCAACAGATTCTAGATGATGTTCGGGATATCTGATCAAACAGTTTTATTTAATTCACCGCTAGTCAAGTCCCAGCAGTTTCATTTAGCTCGATTGACATGTTCTCCTTCTGAAGTCTTCAGTAGACTTTCCCAGAATACACCCCTGTTATTCCTCGACAACATATTGCTGCTACGATATGTTACGAAGAAAAATCACTGAATCCATTTTTAATAATAAAAATTGTAGATTTGGAGCTGTACAACTTCCAGGACAGTACGCATTCATCTACCTGGTATTGCAACGCATGGAGAGACTTCTCCCAGAATTTTGTGCACAGAGTGATCAAGACAAGTTCCCTGCCTGCCTTACTTTCTTGGGTATAGATTTTTTTTTGCTAATACCACACAAACCTGCTCAATAAGTTTCAGCAGTCTTCTAAAAACACTTTTCCAGAGACATTAGGTGATGAGAATTCAAAACCAGAAAGTGAAAACGATGATGAACTACTCTGGAACAACCAGGTTGACTTGTTTTGAAGCAATTTCTAACAACTGACGAACTAAAGATTTCGATCTTCATCCGATATATCAGACCATATTCAATTTGCTCATTTCAGTTGCTCTTAATACATTTCCAAGAAGTGATAATAATGTACAAATCTTTATATTTTTTTCTGCGCGAATTTAAATAGCATTCAGTAGTGAAATACCAGATGAAAGCCACAAATTCGTGTAATCATATAAGTAATAGGAAGTGCATAAGTAAACCTAATTAATTCTGATCACATTCAACAAATAATTTCGAAACTGTTCTGGAACTTTTTTTTACTATAAATAGTGGGAAGTCGAAAGAAGGAAAAGAGAAAGAAAGTAGAGTGGACTGTCTTTGTAAATAATATAAGTTTTCTACTTAGATAGTATCATTAAGTATTCTCGCGTGGACTAAACTATGTGTTTCTAAGAATCATGAAATGAACCTTATAAAATTGCGACAATGTGATGGTGTCATTAATTTACGATATAACCAGCAAATTTTAAGTCAGTCGAACCATTTGATTTTGCACTGTTTAATATATCAAAACTTGATTATGATGGAAACGGGTATTACAAGATACATTCCTTCCTGTTTTTTTTTTTGTTTTCCCTTTGTTTTACAATTTCTGCTAATCTGCTCCATATTGCAACTTATGAAACAGGAAATTTTGCAAACCCTTATAACGTGTAAATCTTCAACCTTATCCGCATTTCTTCAGTTCCTAATACCAGTTCAGCATTGATACCAATTTTATCACAGCACCTTCGACTACAATTAATTAATAGCGAAATTGACACCACAATCAGAATTAGGAAAGGACGGTATCGTTTGACAGCGTCAAACAAATTCTATACTCTTCTTTTGAAATTGCAACATACAATCTTTGTGGTAATGTTCGTGAACCAAGCGTAGGTCTACGAGCACCACATCGCATGACGTATTGCCTCCTAAAAACAAATTAAGCTGTTTCCAAAAGGCATAGACCAAATATTGTTAGGGCTTCGGCCCGTTATATAAAAAAAATTCTATCGGTCAAAATAACCTGGCTTTGGATTTGAAAATAGTAAATTAACGTTAATATCTGGTTTGTTTTATTTTATCCACATAAAAAAAATTTACGAACGATTTACCTGCGATATGGCATGTCTTCGTCGCCGGTGAGGATTTGCTCAAGGGTTCTTTTTTCGGTCCTATAAAAGCATGAGAACAAAAAACTGTGCTTGCAGAAATTTTCGGAAAATATTCTCTGTGCATGACATTTGCTTTCGAGTTTTAGCTTAGTAGAACCAATTCTACTTTCACCTTTTTGTGAAAATATTTGAAACTTTAATAGGCAGAGATTAAAGTGTCTACTAGTCCGTAAAGACGTATAAGTCAGCATTTGTTAACTATACGACTGCACCAAAAATAGTGCCAGTAATCTGTTTTCCAATGTGAATAGTAATGAATTTACCTATTTGAGAAATTTTTTACAGAAGAACCAAAAAAAAGGTTTTTTAGGGCTGAACCGACAGGTCCATATAAATCTCGAACAATGGGTACTCGATAGCCGGCACCAGCTTTTCCACCATTAGCAACATTTCTGCAGTTTTGCTCGTCTGATCGTATAAGCAGCATTACAAATTGTCGTATTTCACATTTCTCATCTTCAGTTAACTGCAATTAAAATTTGTTACTACTTAAAAAAGATCGATAAACATGAGACAACGCGTGACAAGAATTGTGGAAAAATGAATAATTTTATTCAAATTCCTAGTAAAACTCATCAGACAAGCACCTGTACAAATTCAGTAGAATTAAATGCGTTTCAACTTATCAATTTCTAGATAATTATCATTGTCTGACCTCTATTCTCACAAAATAACAATCGGATCAGGAAGAAACAGTTATGAAAACTGGCTATTTTATGGAAAATTTTAAAAGAAAGCTGAAATATTGAAATTTATAATTAATGACCACCAAACAACTTTTCCACAGCTTTTATATGAAATTTCGAAACAACCAACAAAAAGTAAGGTAAGCAATTAACCTCTTTATCAGTCGCAGAAACTAACTGTGTATAAAGTACATTGCAGCAAGCAACCATTCCCTCAACTCGAGTCATATCCTTGACAGCATCTAAGTAATCTTCCAAATCATTGCACCTCGTACAATCCGAAATTTTTTTGCAAAGGCTGAGTAATTTGTCTCCAACAAGCGCAAAATACAATTTTGCTATAACTATCTGTAGTGAATTATGAAAAGAGATAGACTGGCTATGAATTTCGAGGCAGTTTAACAGAAGAATAAGCATGTGTCATTTCATGTACGACACAGACCTCCCACAAAATTCGGTTTCGATACCTTATTCAGAATTGGATCTGCCAACAACAAGAAGCACAAAAAGTATTAAGCAACTAATTTTGCCGATATTTTTAAGTAATCCGTAAATATGGTACTTCATTTTAGTCAGTAATCGAAATCAAATGGAGTCTGACCAGCAAATCTAACGAAATGATTTAATCGATGTTAAGTTGTAAGAAGACACGTCGGAAAGCGTATTATACTGATAAAAAAACTAACATTCATCCACTAACTGTATGGATGCACATTTGAACAAAACCGGTAAGATATAAAAAATCAACTTGGACACCGTGAGATTTTCGAAATCACTAATAATCTGGAAATTGTGATTCATTTGTTAATTCAAAAGCAAATCATCGAATTTATTGATATGCATCTAAGGCATCTGATTTCAGTATTAATTTGTCTGCGAATTGAAAACTAAGACATGCATGATAAGTGGGTTGAACTGTTGAAAGTCATTATATGATATTCGATATCTCCTTCTGAAAATTAAAATGAATACGACTACCTTATTTGCCGCTTTCAGATCATCAAATAGCATCTTCTGACGACAAGCAGGTTTCGGCTGGGCCTGATTCCATGTCTTTTGCCATGTATTATCTTCACCCGTCATGCGACTTGATAAGTGACCTTTAAAATATGCACACAGATTGTTCAGGCAAGAGCTGACAATCCAAAAAATTATAGACACAAGTGTAAGCAAAACACCAAATTTAAAGCTTGCCTTCGCCTGTATTTTCATCATTTACGATAAAGTCACGAGGAGAGTGCCACCTTACAAAGTCTTCAAAACAGCAACCCGGATTGGCGGCCTACAAACAAAAGCAGTTTACGTAGTTCATAGCGAGTGAACACTGATAAAAAAGTGTTTCTTACTTTAAAAGCTTCCATGTCTGAAAAAAGCGGTTCCAATTGTGCTTTGACTCGTTCTTCAGGATCGTTTAATGAAGCTAAATATTCAGTATGCCTCTCAAGCATATCCTCGGTTATTGGAACACGACTCTGAAAGAGACTCGCATGTACAAAGAGAAAATGACATGACGAACTAAAAAAATCAACTTGGACACTGTGAGATTTTCGAAATAATCTGAAAATTGAGATTCATTTGTTAATTTTAAAGCAAATCATTGAGTTTATCGTGTGCATCTAAGGCATTTGATTTCAGTGTTAATTTGTCCACGAATTGAAAACTAAGATATGCACCTGTGTAACAGGCTCATATATTAGCCTGTCGGGAAAGTGAAAGAGTCGTAACGTGCCACAAGGTTTCAAGCGCCCTTCTGCTCCTGAAGAATCTGGTTCTTCTCTTGACATTTCTTCTAACGATTCTAATGCATCAAAAAATTCATCTTCTTCTGCAATATCAAATGTAATATGATTTTAAATCTATAAAATCGTTAGAAAGACCTCAGCTACATGTGGATTATAAAATCAAAGTATGTACCTGACTTACAGAACTGCCACTTTGATTCACGTCGTTTTTTAGCTCTAATTGCACATTGTAAAAGCTGTAGATTCTGGTGAAATTTACAGGTAGACAAGTCTGGAGCTAGAGATTCATCTAGTCTGTAAGAGCTTGTTGTCCAAAAAAAGTGAAAAAAAGTTTATGGCAATGGAATATGAATATTACATCTACACTATTATTTGGATTACAAACATGATTAGTCTCATATTCAGCAATTTAATAACACATACCCAGGAACATATAAATTTTTTTCGTAATATTCCTGCAATTCATACGTAATAGTAGACCACAAATGAGAAAATCCAACCGATGAGTAGTACTCAGAACACAATATTTGGGCAAGTGCAGTAGAAATGCGACAAGTCAAACTGGATTCTGGAGCCGATTTACATGTGGCTAATATATCCTTTAAATTGATAAAATTACGATGCTATGCTGTTGATTTTACAATGTGATGGAAATGCAAAAAAATAGAATACTAGAGTTTGAAGGGTCTAACATAAACTTAAGTAACATGGTGGATATCATAAGTTTAAATTGATCCAATGAAGAACATGTGCATTATCACCGCAGTGAGCCCATAATGTTCTATAACACGAAAAAATTTCTTATAATCAAGCGACTATAGTGATCAGACTCTTCAAATCTGTACATTTTGGCGATGACACTGAAAGATTTCACTGTGGATAAAATAAGTGAATAACTTACGCTAAGTTTTCGATAAATGTCCACTGTGTTTCCGTCCTCTTTTATGTCTTCATCATTGCATGCTTTTGAGTACTGTACACTTTTAACAGCACTACCTGGACCACCACTCGATGTTTTTCCCATCGAGCACGCCGATTCAACATCCATATTGCATGAAATGTTATAGCTCGACAAAGTGTGTTCTCGCTTTGTTCTTTCAAACATTTTATCAATCCAATGTCGAATAATATCCTATAACCAGATGCTTCAAGTTTAAACTAATTAAAATGTTAGAATTTGTCAGTAATTAAGAAGGAAAAAAAAGCTATGATAAGAAAAAATAAACGTACAGGTTCTAAATAGTTTTCATTTGTTATGCGGTCTGTGCTTCTGATTGAAATATTTTCTGGCACTGTTGGAGATAACAATGAAGACAATGCTCGACTTGCATCCTGCCTTGAATGCTCTAATTTTTGAAGAACCAAACTTGAGCCTTCTTGAGACTCAGCAGTTTCTATCAATTTTTTCAAGCAAGAACCTTAAAAAATATTGATCTAATTATTTTCTTTCGCAATGATTTAACAATTCGTGAGCAAACGTTTATTACTGGAAGAGTTATATCATTAGCCACTGATCAAAAAATTAAAGTTAAAAGAAGCCACATTAGGACTGCTATATTTCTCAAAATTAAGTAACATTTATAAGATACTGTCTGTTCAGGCGCATGTATTCAATTAACAATAGTGGAAAAAATAAGTTGAAAATAAGAAATTTCGAGAAAGTGGTTTCTGGAAGCTCACATATAATAAAAACCGGTGAAAATTTATAACCTGTAAGTCCTAAAAATTACAACTTACTCATTAGATATGACGCATTCTTGTGTATTGAAACCCATGCACTCCATCCTGAGGCTCTCTGGGGGTCTAAATTGGAGAGGTTCTGTTCTTCCACAGCAATACCTCTTTCGATGTTTGACCAAATCGCTGATAAGCCAAATTCCCTGAAATGGTAAATGAAAACTTGGAAATATATGTTGATGAGCAGTTTCAAACCGTGTCTGGAAACATGAAATCTAAGCTGAGTACTTACTCAATTGCATCTGTAGTAGCACCAAACGGAAGATGAGAAATATCAATAATGCTTGCATCTTTTGCTGGTTCCAATTTTTCTTCTGTCAAAATTTTCTCAGGAAGTGAATAACAGGGCTTATCCTTAAAATAGAACGAACATTTTGCATTTGCTTATATTCAAGTTCTAAAAATAATTTCAACTAAAATGTGCAACACTCTGAGACATACCTGAAGTATATAATCGAACTGCATAGATATCCGTAGACTCGCTTCATCCATTAAGGAAGACTGCTGAAACAGTAAATTAATCATTCTGCACAAGAATGTCTTGCGAGATTTTGTATTCTTTAATCAAAACCTAAACTTACCCAAATAAGAAAGAGGCAGCATAACGTACCAATGTTTCCCTAAAAATGTCTAAACATCCCGATAAATGACATCTTAACGGATGGCCTCGACGTTGGTGAACTGATTCAAAATTAGTGCGCATGGAATTATTTTGACAGACACCGAAATAGAGTTGTCGTTCTCTTTCACCATATTGTACAAATATTGGTAAAGCACTAAAAGATACTTGGATGCTTTTAAAGTCGCATACAGCTCATGTTACGATAAATTCTAATGACGTACAATAAGAGAAAACATCAAAAAACTGTACTGTTTGCATAGCTCACTACTGAACATGCATACAGAATTCATTTCTCCTTCTGCGAAATAATTCTTTGGTAATACACTTCAAGCAAAAATAGCTCACAGATGTGTAGTATCAAAACCATACCATCCAGCTTTTCCAACAGATTCCGTGATGGATGACAATAACCCTCGCAGCTGGTCTTCATTCGATACTTTGTCTAAATGCCAGTCAGATGGTGTCAGTAAAATAAATTCGAGGACCCCGAACTATAATAATTACAAATCTATATTAGCAGTATCGAGAACGCGAAATAGTTACTGCAGATGTCTCCCCCTTCTGAATGTACATAAATTTTCTATATTTTGTATCTAAATGTACATAAATTTTTCTGGACAGTCATATTACTGTAACACTTATTAATCCTATTAGTCCTACTCATGGCTTTTGGATATACTCTCCGCAAAGTACTCACCTGATTGCAAATAATGGATCCTGGACAAAAGTCTGTCTCAGATGACCAGAACAGTCGCGCAGCATTACTTAAAAAAGAATCCGAAACGTCCGCATTAATTACATCTGAGTTCATTGTTCGTTCAATTCGTTGAAGATTTTTTGGCCAGTAATAGGTAACAATCAAATGATTGTTTCCGTATGTAATCTTTTCATACTTCGAATCCCATTGACATTCCGCTAATGCTGTCTGAACATGCATTCACTGTATAGAATTCTACTGAGAATATAATTAACATTTCCATACCTTTGTAAAGGAATAATTGTTGCCGTTGTCACCAGTAAGCTCCCATTTACGTAGTAATTGTTCCAATTCAGCACACAAACCTTCTTTGATTGTAACAATAGTGAAATCTTCAATTTCAAACACATCCTCATCGCAACTCTCCGCACCTGAAGGCATCGATGCTGAAGCTATATCAGATTGTTATCCTGCAACAATACTTGATATCCTATATTCATTCTCTTATTCCTTCAATTCATTACTTCATAATGCTACATTACATACACATACACGCTCACAAACCCTTCTTCTCCTTTCTTTTATCTGAGATTCGCATTAACCCACTTCTAGGATGGTTCCACGATCCACATTGTACTTTATACGTGTGCACTCCCCTGATGCATCTCGCTTGTCACACACGTACGACAACGCGCTCACTTCCTTCAATGTATGTTATTTGTCATAGGTTGGTTTTTAACGCAGCCGAAGAAACGACGTCTCTTAATCCTCCATGAGAGTGAGAGAATAGCACTGAGAGTAAAAGTGAGAGAATCCGAAAAATAAGAACAATGAAAATATAGCAGCTCCAAGAAGACAACAGAGATTGATAAGAATTGTTGGAAAATGCACTGCAGAGGCAGTGAAGCTGGTTGACACTTACGCTAATTAGCAATATACATCACAACAGCTAATAGGAACAATTATACATGAAAATAAGCCTGCAATCCGTTTCTCTTCATTTTATTTTTCACTTGGTACGATGCAAAACTTTGGATTAAGCTTCCTTCCCTTCTCAATTTCCATTTCCATCATCAGGATGAAATTTGCATCCGTTTAAATGCTATTGATTTTGTTAAATATTAAAAAAAATTATGAACGAACTATTTTTCTTCCTCGCAAAAACTTATACACTTTATAAGTAATATTTTCATTATTACTAGTTCATTTTTCATTTTCAGTGGTACATTTTGAATCAGTTTTCATTAACCTTTTCCCTTTACATATGTACTACCTTATCTCGTCTATTACCCCTTCGTTGTTTTTACAACCTGAATGATCGGTGTTCTTCTAAAGTTTCAAAAAACTGCTAACTCTAATGAATTCAAAAAATATTCAACAAGAAATTTCACTTCTTTAGTATGAAAATATTATCCGTTGCCGGATGTTGTCTTTTAGTGATTTAGCTAGTATAGCAATAACACCATATCCTTATATCATTAATTTGTTGACTGAAAAACAGATAAGCTGAAATCGCGAGGGACCAATTCAGCACAGAGTTTGGACGGAGGGATGAAATGCTATGTTCCACAATTTGATGCCTTATCGTTACTCCCAATTGGTTTAGCAAATTTTTCCATTTCGCTGCTTCCTTTCACTCATTCCTTTTTAGGTTACTGTCACAAATGTGACTACTCCGAGAATTCTTTATATTTTATTTTTTCAAAAATTCAACCGGTAACTTAGAGTAGACTAAACTAAAATAGATGGTTAAATTAAAGAAGGTGAAAATGATCAGTTTCACGGGATCAAGTCTTTTAACGTTTAGGATTTCATTCATTCGAAAATGATTAATAAGAAAATATTATAAAATTCGTAGAAGTTTCATTTCATCTATCATAATTTTTCTGCTGTTAAACATTGTGGGCCATTTGTAAAGTTTTTCACTATTGATGTGAATTTACCACACTTTATGCTTGATGATAATGGACCAAATTAAATCGTGAATTTAACATAAATAAAATATCAGAACGTAGGAATACGAGAGCGCTGCCAGTATACGCCGAATTTCATCGCAAAAAAACAATATAATATTACACATGTTATCCACATAAGCTTTTTTGATGGTCTTAAGAAACAAAATCTTGTATGAGTGTTTGTATATTTCTTATACTGAAGATATTGTTTATTAAAATATATGATGAGTATAGAAAAAGATCCATTTTGTTATTGAAAGCAACACGTTTTTAAGAAAGTGACATTGCCTAGCTAATAAATTCATAAAATATTTTGAAAAAATACTAGTATATCTAATTAAAGTCAAATGTTAGTTTTTTTTCAAATATATTTAAGACTTGTAGATTTATTAAAATTTATCTTTGCCCAAATGCTTGCATGCTTAGCAGTGATGATTTCATGTGCATTGATGCATATTTGTAGTAATCAGAAAAGCAGGAACGAAACTATGTCTCTCCCAGAAGGACCGTTGTCGACCCCAGATCTATATTATCGATCACGTGGTTCGCCAGCGCATTATTCCAACACAACTATGCCCTTGAGCTATCCATGTTGTGACATGGTTCGTTCCTTTTCATTCAGCTTACTCAAAAGTTGCGCAAATACAGCTTCAACATGCATTTCGGTTCACTCCTTCAATTTATTGCGTATTTGTGGTTGCAAATTTATTCGAAATATGTGTATTATTGATTGTTTAGCTGATATTCTAAATTTAAAATTCGTCAATTTTTCTTTTCATGATTTTTCATCTCAAAAAAATTAAGGAACACTATTTTTTGAGATGAAAAATATTTTTCATTATGAGACACTATTTTTTTATCGTTGTGAGGAAAATGAAAATGCGGATTTTTTCAAACTTGATGATTCTATGAGATTATCAGCTAAAAATGGAATAATGTTGGTGGCACAAGAAATGATGGATTTTTGTCATTTTGATCAGATTTGATTAGTCGAATGTGGACTTTATTCAAATTGAAGTAAGCCAATGCAGAATATAGATTGGAAAAAGAATTAAATAATTATGCGTTTGAGCTGTCCTGCTGTGAGGAAACTCCTATAATTGCTAATTGCTAGTCATTAGTACTATTAAATTTCATCAAAGTAGCGTAATTCATCAAAAGACGATGAATTAGGAAATTCTAAAAAAGAAGCCAAATTTCTCGTAATGAATCAACAAGAAATTCCAATATCTTTCAAAATACCAATAATTCATTATCAATTTTGTCTCTAAATGTTTATTGTAGGTTTCAAGGTTGCTTTCAGGCTTACAAAATTCAAAAAAAAAAATTTCTTCATTGAAGGAAATACGTCTTACTACCTCAACACTGATACTCTTTCCTGTAATTTCTCTTCCTGATTAAACATAAGCATAAGCACAAATATGAACTATTTCATTGTCGTAGAGATAAGAAATCCCGGTCATCTTTAATTTTCTTCGTGCAGTGGGAAAATTCAGAAAAGAAATATACATTTTTAATGGCTTGATCTTCTGCAATAAGCGTAATTAAAGAACAAAAAGAGATGCAAATTTCCACATATTTTCTGTTTATAATTTTTGCAAAAAATTCATTTAGTTTTCGAAATCGAACACCGATTAAAAAAGGAATTTGCATACTAATTTTCTAAGTGCGGAATATGCGGAGTATTATTACTGCATAAAATTTTTCATTAATAATGATAGTGTCGATGATTTCATTATCGATAATAGACGGAAAAATCATCATTAAAAGAAACAAAAATTTATTTTTAATTCTGCTAAAAATTTAGCGCACTATTTTTACCTCAATGCCAGATAATAAGAAAAACAAACATTTCTTAAAGAAAATATTTTCACTGCAGTCTTACTTCTGACTTATCCGTCAAATTTGGATTTCAATTACTATTTTCATTTTTAAAAATTTGAAGTAATATAAGAGCATAAACGATTTT